CAAAAAACTAACAGAAAGTTAGGAAGTATTAGGAAAGGGATAGATAATAAGACAGGCAAATATTATAATGTAAATTCATGGTATGCCCACATCTTGAGTACGGCTTACAGTTCTGGTTATCCCATCCAAAAAAAGAATATTAGAATTGGAAAAGGTGCAGAGAAGGGTAAGGAAAATGATTAGAGGTAGGGAACAGCTTCCATATGAGGAGAGATTAAAAAGATTGGGACTGTTCAAGAACTAGGGATCATCCAATGAAATTAATAGGCAGTAGGTTTAAAACAAAGACATGGGGGTACTACTTTCACATGATGCACAGTTTACTTGTGGAACTCATTGCCATGGGATGTTGTGAAGGACAAAAGTATAACAGGGTTAAAAAAAGAACTAGATAAATTCATGGAGGATAGGTCCATCAATGGCTATTAGCAAGATGGTCAGGGATGCAATCTCATGCTCTGGGGTGGCCCTAAACTTCTGACTACCAGAAGCAGGGACTGGCTGACAGGGGATGAATCACTTGATAAATTACCTTGTTCTATTAATTCTCTCTGAAGCATCTGGCACCAGACAGTGTCAGGAGATGGGGTACTGGCTAGATGGACCATTAGTTTTAGCCAGTATGGTTGTTTTTTATGTTCACCTGATGGACTTATATGCCTGTGGATCCAAGAACAGAATTTGTCCTTTACTTTTTCCTTAAATTTCATGGGTTGCAAAATTAATTTGACTTGGACTGCAAGAATAGTAGTGTGGATGTTTAACATTGATGTGAAAATGGTGTACATGGTTAGATAGTTTACACTATTAAAGTAACCAATTTTGAAGTTAAATTGGTTTAACTTTGTACAAGCAGAGTTTATGCTGGGTATCTAGTGTAAAGAGAGAGGGAGTATTAAAGTGCTTCCCTTTTCTCCTCCCTGTGCTTCAGAAAGAAGGCTCATACCCAAAGGAGATTAAATAATTTATTTATGGAAGCCAACATATTTGCTTTTGTGTTTTGTTTTAACAAAGACTTTGATTTCTTAAAAGGTTACAAGAGAAGAATCATGGAATATCAGGGACCTCATGAGGTCATCTAGTCCAACCCCCTGCTCAAAGCAGGGCTAATCCCTAGACAGATTTTTGCCCCAAATCCCTAAATGGCCCCCTCAGGGATTGAGTTTACAACCCTGGGTTTAGCAGGCCAAGGCTCAAACCACTGAGCTAACCCTCCCCTCTCCTAGATATGCAACCTTAGTTTTAGAATAAGTATGTGGTGAAGGAAGACACCATACTTACAAATGACAAGAAGTGTTTTGGGATTTTTTACATAGCACTTGGTTGATAACATACAAATGTAGAGATTACAAGACATTAAGCCAATGATTGGTGGTGGTCATTTTTTGTGTGTGTAACTTTTTTTTTCATAGAGAAAAACACAAAATTGTAGCTCTGCTGCATATAATTTCTTTTGACTCACTTTTTGGATTGCTGTCTTACCCTTGAGAGGCTTGAAAGAAGAGATGTTACTGGGCCAAAGGACAGATGGACATGCCAGGATAAGCAAATGCAGGCCCTGAAAAGTCTGTACTGACCAGAGAGGTACAATGATTAAAGCAAGAGAGTTGGGGCCAAGGGGTCAGCTTCCAGCAACAGGAGAATCAGCCCCTCAATTGCTCTCTACAGAGTTGGAGAGAGAACTCCATTTGCCTCTTCTCCAAATGAACCAGTTGACCAAAAGCCTCCAGCTTCTTAGGGAGTGTCCCCCCTTCAACTACCTGTTCCTGAAATCAATTGGCTACTTAAAGCCTTGGGTAAAGACATAACCAAAGCGTCCTGTTCAGAGGGAGAGGAGATTCTAGCCTCCCTTGTACTGGAAGCTGAGGGAAGACTAAGAATTGATTAATACAAGGACTTGCTCAACCCAGTGAGTGATCTGCCTGCCTCACAATGGGATGCCACAATTGTGAGTAATGTGTGCACTTCTCAAAGCTAGTTAATAAAGGCCCCTGGTGTGAGTTAAGGGCTGGTCTGTATATACAGAGCCAAGCAAAGGCTTACATGGAGCAGAAAGGGTATGTCAGCACCACAGTGCTCCTAACAAAGGTCAGGCCTTCAACTTCCCTGTAACTTCAAGTTCACCTTCCTTTGGTCATTCCAAAAGTGCTCCAATACATAGGGCAGTGTGTACATTCCATCTGCCTGAGACTGGTGGGTAGATACTGGGCGTATACCCCCATTGCCTTTATATTATTTTTATGGGATATTGATTATAATTAGTTACTAGAAGGAATATGATTATTTCAGGGAGGGTCTGATTATTGTTGTAAGATTAAGGTATTCATTTATTTATCTGTCCCCCTTGATCTTCCTTCCTTTTTATCCTAATTTCTGTCCTTACTCCTTTAACACTATTCCCCCCCCCCCCAAAGTGTTTGTTCCTTCTTAAAACTGCTTGGCCCTTGATTCTTTAATAAAGAAACAAAAAAATAAGGATGTTGGGCACTAGGATGGCAAGAGAGGGCAAGTTGCTCAACTTTAGTAATTTTTTTGGACTCATTTGTGGGTTTGCCACAGTCAAGGGGCAGTGCATGATTATGCTGTCCCAGGAATAACCCAACAGACACATGATGACTCTCAGTCACAGTCTGCCTCCTAGTTTCCCCTTCATCCACAGAGGAAGTACCTAGTATTAGGCTTATGGTAGCCAGCACACTGAGGATTGGTAGTCCCTACCCCATCCTATTGTCCCTCTCCTGTTGTGCCCAGTCCTGCTCAATGACATGGAGATGAGGCAGCCCTGCAAAGGCTCCTCTGTGCTGCTACCTATGATCCAGGAAGCTGGTGCAAGGGAGTAAACAGGTTGCCATATTCCCTCATGTAGCACACAATGTGCCACAGACTGGCCCCTCTGTGAGCAGAACACCTACCCACAACTACATTTTGAAGCAGGCTCACCAGCTTTGAAAGGTACTGCTGTATCCACAAAGTCTTCAGACTACATAATTTCCCCTTCTATGTAATTTCTTTAAATGATACATAATGAGATACCACTGGAATAAAGGCTTGTAATCATTCTTATTTTGGAATGTACTGTACAGTATACTGCCCTCTTCCAGATCTTTGAACACTGTAATTCTCTTCGCTCTTGAAGGCTTGAGCAGTCCTAGACATTCATGTGTGAATATTTTTCTCAAGTAATATACTCAGTTTCCAATATATTCCTCAGATCTGATCCCTTTTCTATTTTTCAGTTTTGCTGACAGTGATTTTATCACTATCTGAACCTTGTACTCATTTTTAACAAGAATTGTAACTTACACTGCACTGCTCAGAGATTCATTTGCACTATTAATGTATACCTTTGATTCAGAATAAAAACTGAGGGGGAAATACTAATGGTATGTGTAAGATCTGCTTTAATGTATTATGGGAGCAAAACCATGATACACTATAGTTTAAAATACCACACTTAAAACATCTAGTAAATCAGTCTATCTATTCAGTTACTGAATAGGTGTACAATGTTTAATCTCAGAAAGCAGATGGTATTTTAATGTTTATCTTTACCAGTTTAATTTTAGTGTTGAAATATTTATTATGGATTCCTATTCAAGAGCTCTTAAAAATGAAGCATAATGTGATCGTGAATAGTTACTATAGCAGCTGCATGTACATTAGCTTAAAGAATAAGCTGCACATTGAAATGCTCGTGTAATTATGTATTTCATTAAAAAAACAGAGTAGGTTAGAGTTGCCAGTCAATTTTCCTACCTACGCTCCATTTCTTTGTAAGACTGATTATTTTCTGTAAGGTCTACTAGAAGTGATTTAAAAATATTGACATTTTCAAAGTTAAGCTTTTCTTTGGGATTCCCATTGCGGCACATCTCCTTCCTTTTATCTTTTAGTCCCAGATTCTGCATTCAGATGCATATAGGTGTAAGTGTCCACTTGCATGGAGAATTGGTACCTTAGACTGTAAGATTTCCTGACAGACTATATCTATTTTATTCAGTGCACAGCATACAGTTGATGATTAATAAATAGGTCTACTCACAAACATTGGTCTTCATGCTTTGTAGTTTCCTGTCACATATAGAGAAAAATTGGTGTTTATATTTGCCTATTTATTGCTCTATGATTTATATGCAAAGTTTGCATATTGTTGAGTTCTGGACAGGGCCGGCTCTGGCTTTTTTGCCGCCCCAGGCAAAAAAGCCTCCGGCCGCTCCCCCCACCCCCCGCGTGGGGGAGGAGGGGGGAAGGGCGGCCGGAGCCCCAGGGGGAGGGCGGCGAGCCCCGGCAGGGGCCCGCCCCCCCCGGCGGCTGGAGCGCCGCGCCGCCCCCCTCCAGGTGCCGCCCCAAGCACAAGCTTGGTGGGCTGGTGCCTGGAGCCGGCCCTGGTTCTGGATAGCAGGCCCCAGAAACAGACGTTGAAAACTGTCCATCAAAGTTCATTAGGAGAGGAAAGAGAACCACAGGTCTCTAATTTTTATATGCCTGTGTATATATACATATATGTATATACATATTTAGAGAGAGTGAGTTAGTTAGTTGTCTATTCAGGTACCTACCATAGCCTCAGAATTTTTGTTCAGACCAAAACTAGTTATTGCCCTTTTTTGATGCTCCACATCCTTTCTGGTGTGGGTGTGGGGTCGGAGAATCTTTTTCATTATTTTAAAATCTATCTGGGTGCTAGGATATTTCACTATAATCTGTATCCTACTGGACTGAATCCTGAGGTCTTTATTCAGTTTTTAATTAGTCCTTACACATGCAAAATCTCATTTGAATGTTGTTGCTTAAATATTAATTGGCTAATACATTCTGTATTTTCTTAATACACAATATTTTATACAAAGCAATTTATACATATATATATATATATGTGTACTTTTCTTCCCATGTATCCTTAAAAGCTGATTAACACCTAAAAATATGAAATTTTACATGATGGGAGCTAGGTTTGGTATCGTGGTCAGTTATAAAACAAACACATTTAACTTGCTAACACGGATATAAAAGCTTGCGTGAGCTTTATTTTCATGGATTGCTATCTTAAATTAGCAAACAAATTGTGATGTTATGAATTATATAGTGTTGCAATTACAACTGCATATATTCCTTTCCTGAGTGCGTTCACTGTGCTCATTTAATAAAAATTGTTACTATAAGGGCAGTCAATAATCCCTTGTTGCAGTTACTTTATTCATTAGTGTTCATTTGGAGCCACCTGTGAATTGCATCTTTATACTTTCTTGGTTCTTTTAACCAGTCCTGATGCCATCTGAGATTAGCTATAACATTGGAATAATTCTGTCCCAAACTTTGTTTCCAGCTGATAAATTGCTTCTTGTTGTACTTGTGCACAGAGGCAGAGATTCTTGGATAGTTTACTATGGAGCGAAGCTTTTTGTCCAAGGAATGTGAGACTTCTGGAAATGTTGTGGCTATGTTTGTCAGTTCATCTGGATCAGCAGACAGATCTGTAACCAACAAAAACCAGTTAAGCGCAATTTGCCAAGATATGATTTGGTAAAAACAGAACCATTAAAAATATCTAGTGAAGAAATGTGGTTAGTATACCAAAGAGCTGAGGAGGTACTGAATGCCCATCTGAATATGCTATATATTTCCATTTGTTAGTTCGAAGCATATAGGTGGAAGAATTCGCATTACATCCGTGAAATTCACTCAGGACCCATGTGGGGTGCAGCCTTCTGGATGAGACTTCATCTTCTGCCCTTTCAGCCAACAATGGTATCAAGGAATATCCACTGAGATTCTGCGGGATAGGAATTCTAGCTATATCTGAACAAAGATATAAACATAGTTAAGACTTCTTTTAATTAACTCTAATAATGATAATTAGCTTTATATCAAAACACTAAATTATTAGTTTTCTGAACAGTGACCATACTACTGTGTTAAAGCATGCCTTCTAATTATGCTTCCTGATAGGAAACAGAAACACAGAGGTTCACTAAAAAGAACATTATTGAGGCATAAAACCACAAAGCAAGGAAATTCTAAGATACGGTTGTCACATCAATGTGAATTCCACCTTAGTGGGCCCGTGTTGCAGTTCATGTCATGCTCTTTTGTCTTTGTATGTCTGAGGTGAGATCCACCAACACTCTGGACCCTTTATGCCATATGAAAAGACCAGAGCAACGTAAAAGGGCCCTAAAAGCTCCATATGGGACTAGGGGAGGATTCACCTGGCCTAGGCACTGCATTATTTTTATTTAGCTTTTATATAGCGCTTTTCAGCAGATTAAATGCTTTACAAAGGGTCAGTATCACTACTCCCATTTTACAGATGAGAAAACTGAGGCACAGAGAGTTGAAGTGACTCGCCCAAGGTCACCCATCTTCTTGCAATCCCATGCTGGGAGTGGGGTGGGGGGCAGAAGGGGCCTGCCAAGGGCAGGGCCACAGCTTTGACTCAGGAACCTCTTAGTGCCAACTGACAAGGGGCACAGGAATCTCTTCCCTCTGGTATTTACATTATAGCTCAGCAAAACAGTATCATGCAAGGTCTTGAATAAAAGTCTGCGTCACTCAGTATCATTGTGAAATGTATGAACAGACACTATGTAAGGAGTTATGCGTGTGTACATATCTATGGAAAATGTCTTCTTAAAGTCTGTGGCTAGGGATTGGTCACCAGCAAAGGTGAAAAACAGGATTCCCGTCAGAGAGGAGATGTTTATCCATCTGTTTACGTGTAAATTAAGTATTGTCTGGTTCACAGTGGGTTTCCTATCACCAGTCTGAACTGAATACAAATGAAGAATTGTGGGGATTTGAGAAAGAAATAACAGGAAGAGAAAAAATGGGGGTGGAAGAACCCTATCTAGAGGTGTTCTTCAAACAATTGCCTGAGTATTTTGGTAGGGACAAAGGAGGTGCCTGGGCACAATTTACTGAGGAAGAAAAAGGACAGCAGTTTTGCTTCATGAAAAAGGGTCTCAACCAGACTTCGTTGAAAACACTGGAGAGAACTTTGGGTGAGACAAGCATCTTTAGACAAGAAATTAACCTGTTAGTTTAGCCTCTACAAAGGGTGTTATAGTTTTGTTTAATATGTTATTTGTTTCTAATACTCTTACTCACTATCACTTAAATCTCTTTTTTTTTTATAACAGATAAACTTATTCTTGTTTTCACTATAAATATAAGTGCTGTGATGTCAATCAAAGTGGTGATCCTGGGTTGCACGTTACAAGCTGATGTGTACTGTTCCTTTGGGAGCTGCGAGCCTGGTAATTCTGTGAGTGTTCAGTGGATTAAGGGCCTTGATACTGCAAGGAGCGCTCTGAAACTAAGTGGTTGGTGTGTGCCCATCACTACCTGCACACACAGAGTAAGGCCTGAGGAGACCTAGAAGTCAGTGCTTGTGCTGCCAGAGGCTGCTGGTTTCAGCAGGCACAGACAAGACTGTTTCACACTAAGGGCAAGTGGTAGTGAGGTGCCTCAGAGTCATAACCCTGGGGAGCAACACAACAGCACATGGTGCAAAAGAGATTCTGGGCAGGGTGCAGTCCAGGTAGGCTGCCAAAACTCAGGCTGCCCCCCAAGAGCTACATTATACTAGGGGACTCTCCAGCCCCCAGAGCAGGCCTAGATTAGTAGTGTGCAAAGATGCATTGATACTCTAGGAGGCACAATACAGAATATCACCCATGCTATCTAAACACCAAAGTGTCTATTAAGAATGTAGTACTATTTTTATCATACCTTCAAACACAGTATACTATGTGTGATTAATAACTCTGTGTTTTCCATTTCACAGTGGACTGCAGTAGTGTGTTATCTCCTGTTTTATGCATAGGTTATTGCAGGTACATAGAGTAGTCACTTCATTTGCTAATGGCACCTACTGTATGTATATAGCCCATACTGGTGACATTTTTTCTCAGTAGCACATCTTTCTTCTCCTCTCCTAGCTTTGTTAAATTGTTTCTGTAGGCTATGCATCAGTCTATACATCTGCATCCTGCTATGGTGAACAGGTGGCTTCATGGAGGCAGCATTTGACTTAGCAGTAGGAAGAAAAGTGGTATCTTATGTAAACCAGTAACCTACAGTCTTTGGTCCAGACTATGCCCAGCCCTAAATGGGTGCACAAGGGATATAAGCCCTGGTCCTTTACACAAGGAGTGTTCAAGGCTAACATCTTCAATAGCTGTAGCCTCTCCAATGGGGCTGAGGGAGCCACACCGCCCAAACCACCTCCATGCTGACCAGCAAAGCTGAGGCCACCTGGAGGGAAGGGCGTGTCCCACCCTGTTAAAGGATATGAAATAAGAGTTGCAATCTTAGGGAAATTATGCCTACCACAGAGTTTCTGCCAGGGTCACTCATGACCCTTTGCACCCTCTGCCATTTATCCTCAAATCAGTCAGATAGGCAAGGAGTGAATCTCCAGTTTATCCGAAAACAAAGTATTTCGATAAGATGGTTTCTTGAGAAAAGAGAATATTTCCTTGTGACCATATAAGCCAAAGCAATTACATTTGTAATGGCCAAAGACGCATGGGTTGTTTCATCACTTGCCAGAAAGGAAAGGTTAAAAGATGACTGAGATGCTTCTTCCTTTTTTTTCTTAGTCACCTGAATAATTTAATTCTACTTGATTTATGTTTCTATTTTTGACATACTGATTACAGGAAGGAGGAATTGGCAGAACAGAAGAAGAGTGAGAGAACAGGAAGGAGCTGGCTTTAAAAATACAGATTTCAAGAAGAGAGACTGAAAAGGAAAGATTTTAAAACACTTGGATCAATAAATTATTTGGAGGGAGTGACAGACACAACCAAGAAAGGAGTGATTTAAAATCTGTTAATATATTGTTGGGATCAAATCTGGATTTACATCCAGTCCATAAAATGGTATATATCCTGTCCTGGCTCTGAAAGGGCTAATGTTGGCCTGAGCTTAACTGGTTTTTGTTTGTTACAGATCTGTCTGCTGATCCAGATGAACGGACAAACATAGCCACAACATTTCCAGAAGTCACACATTCCTTGGACAAAAAGCTTGTGCTTCTGTTGTTTGTTGCTGTACCTGTTCTTTGGACACAATCGCTTTCCAATGTTGGCAGTTCAGCACTTTTAATACATATGCAGTTCATTAAGGAAAAGATAACAATGGGCAGAGGAGAAAGGGTGACAAACCAGTGAGATGAAAGGAGAGAAATATGTTGAGGGCAGAGGGATAGGAGGACATATGAGAAGTGGAAGTGGCAGAAGAGAAGAGAAAGAACATCTTTTTTCTTAGTGTTCTTTCTTTTCTCTTCTCTCTCAACAACTTTGCCAGTTCTACCCTTTTCCTTCTATCCCTTTTCACTTCTCCTTTGGACAACATTCTGACTCTTCTCTCTCCCCTCAACGTTGCTGTCAGAGTCCACCCCACTCTTCCCCATCCACTTTCCTCTCTGATTTTGACACCTGGCTCTCCATCTTGTAACTATGTACCATTTTCATCCTACTAGCTTCATCATCTGTCAAGTCTGACCTTCAAAGCTAGATAAACTCTCCCACTCACCAAGACAGCTGCTCACTCAACATTGAGGTCTCATCTGCTCTCCTCTAACCTCTCTGCTTGATCCAGTGTGTCACGGTCTGTGGAAGACTGGTGCCCAGGACATGGGTGGTCTGGTTTTGTGGTCGGTGCAGTGTTCAGGAATCAGAGGCCAAGAGGCAGATCCAGAGCCAGGTGTCAAAGTTGAAAGTCTGAAGCTATAGAGCCATAGCCTAGCATTAGAACTGGAGTCAGACTGGAAACAGGAACTGAAGCCAAGGGTCAGTACTAAGTCAGAAGCCAAAAAACTGAATAAGGTCAGAGCTGGAGCAGTCAGAAACCAGGGCAATAAGGTTGAGGGACCGGAACGAGGCCGAGGGCAGGAGCCGGGAACAGGGTAGGGTTGAAGTCAGGAGGCGCAGATTATGCCAGAAGTGAGGCAGTGGATGGTAGGGTCTGTAGCAGAAGCAAGCCAGGATCCACTTTGTTGCCCAGACAACTTCTAGTCTCTTTGTGGCTTAAATAGTGAACCCGGCCCTATCAGGGACTCCAGAGATCCTCCAGTCAGGTCCCCATGTGTAGTACCTTTAATGGAGTGGAAGGCTTTAGGGCTCCCAATTTCTGGTCACTAGTACAGAAGTTGGGCAGGGTTGTGGTTGTGAACCTGCAGGCTCAGGTTCAGGACCTATGGACTCTCACACAGTGAACCCATCTTCTCATAACTCCTGACCAACTTTGCTCCCAATCTCACTTCCTTCCTTCCCTTCCTCCTCAATTTCTCCATCTTCTGGCCTTTTCCTTGAAAATACAAGCTTGCCTTCATCTCCCCTCTCCTCAAAACACCCACATTTGACCAGACCTGCCTCTCCCCACATTGCATGTTTCTCTTCTTTCTTGCTCCTCCAATTTCACCGAATGCAGCATCTACAACCATTGCCTTGAAATAATCTTCTTCATCTCTACTCTAAACCCTCTCCAATCTGGTTTCTACCTCCCCTGTTCCACTCAAACTGTTCTCACCAAAATCTTGAAAGATTTTTTTTACGGTCTGATCTATTTCATCTTCAGCCTTGTTGGCCTCTGACAGTGTCAGAAGGAGTAATCATACCCTCTTATTCTTGAAATATTGAAATTGTCCCCTTGGCTTTCATAACTATCTTCTGGTTCTCCTCCTACCTCTCTGGTGGTTCTGAGCACTTATTCTAGTGGATCTGCCTCCTCCCATCCTCCACTTTTAGTGGAGTCTCACAGGGCTACAACTTTCAAGGGCCGCTCTTGTCCCT